GGTCCCAAGCTCAATCCTGGGTACCAAAAAAAATAAAAGGTTTATTTACAAAAATAAGTGGTGGGTGGGCTTTGGCTTCTAGGCCATTGTTTGACAACCTCTGGCCTGCTTTACACTGTCTACCACATTTCTCACTCGTTCTCTGGCTTAGTTGTGTCCTTTCTGGTGACTGGCCTCTTCTGTGCCTGGCACACAGCAGACATTAGCACACCTCCCCAGGCATGCATGTATGAGTATTATTTGGTAGCTGCATTGCTCCTTAAAACACGGATTAATCTCTAGGTCTGCAGTTTCCTGTTTCCCAGTACCATTTTCCACTGGTAATTTAGCAAGTCAACTTTTGCTTTCTCATCAGGAGAAATGACCAAATCTCTGTAGGTTGACAAGGAGGACTATCCAGAGTCTGGGAAAGCCAGGTAAGAGCTCGGAGAGGTGACATGGCTTCCCATGCATGGCAGGGTGCAGTTAGGCCCAGCATGGCAGGGAGTGGCAAGTCTTAGTTATGCAAATCCAGTTTACTTGTGGTGAAGTTTTAATTCTGGGCAATTCCTAATGTTTTCTTATTTTCCAAAATATTCTGAGGCCCTCTCTACTGTATAGGCTTAGGCTCAGGAGAAGCAAGCTACCTTTAATATCAGCTTACAGAATATATGACTAGAACAACAAACAAAACAAACCTACTCTCCAAGCCCTTGAAAATAGCATTTTAACATCGGATAAGAATGAGACTTGCAGGTATTGTCAGTAAAAGTGGACAGCAAAGGAAACTCCGAATGGAACACCTCACTGCCTATTGTGACAAGAATCCCTTCCTTTCTACAGCAGGAGAAGTGGGACTAGATGAGCAACAGTGCAGATCTGGACATGGTTGGAGGGTGGATGGGGCTTTGTTTATTGGTAGGATTTGCACAGGATGAAGTGGAAGGGGTGTCCTCCTAGTTCTAAAGTGGTAACTACCAGGCAGGGCATAGGTGTGGGGACTTCCAGAGACACCCAAAGCAACAGTGTGTGGTAAGCTAGCTCAATGGGAAGCGGGCAGCAAGATTTTCAGAACATTCTGATTCCTGTGGTGTAAATGCTGCCACCCGGGCTGAATTCAAGACCTCAATATGACGTCACCTAACTGGGAAGTGATGCAGATGGGTACCCTCACGGACAGGACCAGAGGTTCCAACGCCACTCCTTCTAACTCGCTCCATGCTGAACGAGACCAGAGTGCACTCTGCTCACCTCTGCCCTGGTCCGTGTCCTTCCTTCCCTCACAGCCTTGGCTCTGGCCTCCCCATTTCAGCCTCAGTCCAGAGGATGGCTAACATGGACTCTTGACGGCACTGGCTGCAAGGTCCCCTATCCCTTGGGGGTCCACCCTGTACTGTCTAACTATCAGAATGGCCTCTCCTGCTCGTCTCCTTTGGTGCAGGCACACATATGGCTTTGGTTCTATTTCCAGAAGCTGAATTCCCATTGCCTCCCTGGCCAATGTTCAAAAGTATATTCCTAGGGAATGTCAATCGATGAGAAGTAAAAAACACAAGAAGCACTGCTTTTGCAGACTGATGCATGTGGGAACCAAACCGAACAGCGAGGCCACTGAAGGCCACTGCCCCGCTGTCTGGGTGCTGACTTCTCAGGGGTGAGCCTGTGATCTGCCTGCAGTGGCTTTTATAGAAGGGCCACTGTTGAGAGGGTGTCAGGAAATGTGCAGAGGTATTTTTTGGTTTTCACAATGAAGTAGGGGGGAAGGGATGCTATGACATAAGATGCTTGGAGGCCAGGGACCCACCCACCCCAAACATTACCCTAGTGAGAGATACTGGAAGATGGGAGAAGAAATGACACTGACTGATGAGAAAATGACAATAAATTTTCCTCAGTGTGAATTATCCTCTTCCCTCTCTGAAACTCCCTTGTACCCTATCTGTGAACAGTTTCTTCCTCCTGAATCCAAACTGTAATCTCAAATAAGCCTACTGCCTGAATTTCTCTGCAGATATTGTACAACCTACCAGGATCCTCACCCTGTGTGTCCGAGGATGTGGCTGTGACAGCTCAATCACTTCCAACAGTCAAATTCCAGTACTGGGCGCACCCCAGTGCCAAGTAGGTACTTATGTTGGGATTTATTAAAAAACAGCAAAAATAAAAAAAGACAGAATGTGATTAGTAATGTTCAGCAGAGCACTCTTGATTTCTGGGCTATTGGGAAACTGAAATCTACAGTCATTTGAAGGATGACAAAGGCAGACAAACAATCCCTGTGGTACCAGGGATTAAACCCAAGGCCTTTGCACTGAGCTACATCCCCAGCCATTTTTTCTGCTTTTGACACAGGGTCTTGCTAAGTTGCCAAGGCTGGACTCAAACTTGTGATCTTCTTGCCTCAGCCTCCCAGAGCGCTGGGATGACAGGCATGTGTCCGACCCCCAGGTATGAGTCTTGCTGAGCATGGATATGGATCCTTAAAGACCCTGGTGAAGGGAACAGGAACCCAGGTCCGTCGTTCCAGGAGGTGATCTGTGTGTGTGCTGGGCAAGGCTGCCACACAGTCTCAGCAGGTCCCGGAAAGGCCCACCGTCCCACACGGTGACAAATCCACCCCACAGCAGCCTCATGCCCACTAAAAGGGTGCTGAAAACCATGCCTTCCACGTGAGGTTGGAGTGTCAGCTCTGTACTAATTAGCAGAGGTGCGTATGCTGCACACACAACCCTCCTCAAGCCCCAAGGACACAGCGCCAGCCACAGAGACTGAGGGCTGCATGGTAGCTGTTAGGACAAATGACGCTCCAGGGTTCAGGCTGTGGAGGCACCACAGTGTCTACACCAGGAGTGCTGTGCCTGGCACCAATCACAGTGGCAAACAAGGGAGCTTACTGTGTGCAGGTGCTGTTCTCATCATTCACACGGACCCATCTGGGCCTCATCACTGTCCTCACCTGGTGCACAAACCAGGACACAGACACGGAGCAGTAAGCAGCTGGCTGCTGGCTGGCTCATCCGGCTAGAATCTCCCAGGACTGGGACTGGAAGAGGCTGCAGCCTGTGCTCTGAGCTGCCGTGCTATATTCTGCCTCTCAGAGAGAAGCAAGGAGGACCTTCTCCTTGGATTTTGGGTGTAAAAGGGATGATGTCTGCAATCAGAAGTATTAAAATAACTTCTTTGCCTTGACCTCTCCTTTACAGAAAAATCACAAGATAATGGTAAAATTCAAAATAGTGGTATTCCCCCTTCTGTGGAAGAAACTGGAATAGTGCCCTAACAGAGACCTGACTGTGAAGTCCAGGAGCCTTGGCAAGGCCAGATTTAATTTGTCTCTTCACTACTGACGGATGCTGTAAGGGTCACCAACTTAAAACAGCTCTTATATCTATACCCAGAACAAGGCCATCAGCTGTACTGCAGCCAAAGGTGGAGGCTGGCTGTGTTCTGTTTGGCTGATTAACACTGCTTCAATGAAATGAATTTAAGAGTTAGGAAACTTTGTGTTAAAAGTTATGTTACTGTGACTGTTAGGGTCTCACCCACCTCTGCCTTATTTTGTTTGTAAACAAGACTTCTGTGTTCTTTTGGTTCAAATTCTCACTCATAATGCAACAGTGGAGTGGTGCAGGGTAGGAAAAAATGAAGCTGGCAATGACCTTACCTGTTTCCTGTATGCACAGGTGAGTGAAATTGGGATGGTTTTCTAAATACTTCTCTCTCTATCTCCTTCCCTCCCTCCCTCTCTGAATCTCAACAAAAGGGAGAATCAAATCTCTCTAGAGGCCTGGGAGATCTGTGTCCATCATGTGTCCACCTGCTGCCTCCACGGCTGGTTATAGCATCCACAGCACAAGGATGGAACATGATGGCCTGTGGCATGCCCTCCCCACCAGGTCAACGCAGAAGAGTCTGAGGTGTGTATGTGCACTGGAAACAGTTGGGTCTTTCCAAGTTCAGTTCTGTACTAGGAAAGAAATTATTCCAAGCTTTATTCTCCCTCTAAGACCAAGAAACAATTAGGAACAATCAAACTTCTCACGGATGTCAAAGGTAACACATCATCCATTGTCCTGGAGGCACTTTTCTGGGTATATGACAGGAAATCTGGGGGGTATCTATAATACCTTGGACAGTATCTTTTAAAAAAACTAACTAAATCATTTTTTTATTTCTAAGTTTACTTTAAAATATTACATGATTGTTAGAAGAGATTTGGAAAGGTACAGTTATATTTAAAGAAAAGATTAATAACTCACAATAGCAAAAATTAAAGAAACCATATTATTTTCTTTCTATGAATGTTTAACATAGGAGATTATAAAATACATGCAATTCTTTAGCTCTGAAGCCCAGGGACACTCTACGGATTAAACTCCTGTGACTAAAATCTCTTTAAAAATATTTCTAATGACCAAAAATCATTGTCTTCTATACCTGTGTGACATTACTGTTCCTAATCTGGTTTCCAATTTTGATTGCATTTTAAATAATACCAAGTGAACATCTTTGTGCATGATACAGAGTTTCTAGTTTTAAGGGCATGGTTACATTGAAGTCTTCTGATGGACACTGTTATGTGGTGGGAGGCAAGGGGTACACTTATTCTTGTCATGTTTCTGTAAAACTTAGTGCAATGGCATTTGCTAAACCGGAGCTGAAGTGAACCTGGGAGTTCAAAGCACAAAGGAGGAAAAAAAAGACCATGTCATCATTCCCATCTCTCCTACACTTTATGGAGCTGCTTAGTATGGAGAGGGTGGGAGGAGAGAGACCAGGCACAACATGGTAAAGAAGCCAAATTATTTTTCAAGTCCAACTAAGGAAGAGAAAACCTGATAGGGAACTTATGCCTGTATACCAATTGATATGCAAGCTACAGGACAGGGACCGATGCTCCTCCCATACCTGTGCTTAAAGCCTTCTTTTGTTTATCCCCAGGATTTACAAGGGAAGAGACTGGGAATTTTGCACATAAAAACAGGTAGAGAATTTCAGACAGATAAAAAGGATTTCCTCACCTTTCGGAGCCTTGTGAGGAGACCAGCCACATGCTCATGCTGCTCCGACTTAGCAAGATCCTCTGCTGTCTTTCCATCCTGTTACAGAAAAATTATTAGTTTTTTTTCCTCTGCAAAAGACAGCAAGGTGTGCTCCATACACCCAATCTGTTGGTCTGAGGCATCACCAGCAAATGAGGTGAACAAAAACCACGTACTGGAGTATTTCCCTCTCTGAAGGACCTGGTTTTATTTGGCTGCCCAGCACAGGAAGAGACACAGGAACAAAGCTCATAGTGGTACAGTGGGGAGATGCCTCAGCCTGTGAGCTTCCTTCAAAACGAATCCACTTGCTCATCACCCTGGTCCTGGGCCCCTTTCTCCAATCAGGCAGACAATCAAGAGTGTCACATAAGCTTATGTCTTATAGTCCATACACAGCCCAACACAGTCTTCCTAGGCTGCAGTAATTACTGATTCCAAAGGAGAAGTCTTCATCTAACAGAGTCTGATTTGAAGATTTCTGGTGAACATACAATGAAGATCTAAGGGTCTGAAACACTTTGGTGTTTGCTCTTTCACTGGGGAATTTTCATAGGGCTGCCGTTTTGTGCTGATTGAGTTTGCTTTACAACATGCATGTGCACAACGAGGGCTTCCGTTTCTTGTGACCCTCCTAACAATCCCGGGCACCCTCAGTTCTCAGTGCTCATGGGCAGGAGACCTCAAGTCACAGCAGGGGCCACAGCAGCAGCACCCCACACACCACCAAGGGGAAAATGAGTGCTTAGGGGACTATTCTGTTGTGGGTTTAGAGATCACTGAACATTTGAAAGTTGAAAAGATAAGCAGCAATTTCCAAACAAATATAGGCAGACCTTTCTTTTTTACATAAGAAAACTAAGAAGAACGTAGTTTCTCTATCCACATTTAACAATAACAAAGTTAAACTGAGAAATCTGCAAACTTTCCGATTCCTCAATTCAAGTTACTCTCTCAGACACGCACAGGATCCGATCAGCCAGCGTTCCTCCATCTGGACTCTTCTCACGGTTGAACCAGTGATTCTCTGTCACGGGGGCTGTCCTGTGCCGTGAAGGGTGTTTAGTAGCAGTTCTGGCTTCTACCCACCAGGTGCCAGCACCTTCCCCCAACTCCTAGGAGTGACACCAAAAACTGTCTCCAATTTCAATTTTGTCCTAGGGGCCAGACTGCCAGGCCCAGAACTCCTGCCTCGAGCTGAGGTGGAGCTCAGATGGATGCTCAGGAGGCCCGAGTCCCAGTCAGGACTGTCCAGCCCCATCTGCTGCCTTACAGGTGAAATGTGTCTAGAGTGAGTCAGGGGCTTATCGGACACCACATCCCCAACCAGAGGTTCATGTCCAATCACCCAGCTCCTTCAGTAATAAAAGCAAAGCCAGCACGGAGGGAGAGGTGTGGGTCTACAGGGCATGGACTGAGAAGGCAGGTGGCCAGGAAGGAACAGGGTAAAGGGGAGCTGGAGAAGGGTGAGCAGGAGAAGGAGGTAGAAGGAGGTCTTTTTAGCCACAACAGGAGAGGGTCAAGGAATGTTAAGCACACCAAGTCCTGAGGAGATGTCATGAAATGAGCTGGGAGAGCCCTGGTCCACAGCTGAGTGGAAGGGGAAAAAAGCCCAAGGAAGCAATGCCCACAAAAGACAGACGCATTCTGGCATGGGAGCACAGCACCCATGGCCCAGGCCACTGGGAGCTTCCAGGTTCCACTTTTTTTGGCTGGAATGGGACTACGAAGATGTTTGCTTATAATAAATCACTATGTTTAACACTTGCTTATGTGCTTTTATTTTTAAATCTGTGTTTGATTTTGTAATAAAAGTTTGAAAGGAAAGAGCTGCCTGGAGGTGGCTGGGGTCTCTGCCAAGAGTCACGTGGAGCGGAAGAAAGACCTGCAGAGATGCAGCAAGGGAAGAAGGCACGAAAACACAGCAGGACACTCAGTATGGCACACCGTCCTGGCTGAGACCAGAACAGGAGAAGACAGCCCTGGAGGGTGCTGCCAGCTGAAGGACAGGAAAGAAGAGCACTTACCGAGGCAGGGTGCTGGGGTAGCAGCCCCTTACACAGGCCTGAAATGTGATCCAGGACAGATGGGCTATGTGGAAAACTTCATATAAACCAAAGGAGGTGAACAATCTCAGTAATTTCAAAATATGCATATCTTTTGCTAAATAAAATATACTAGTGAAATTCTTTTTCTTTTTCCTATTTTTTTAAGGTGGCTGCCACAAAATCTGAAATGACAATGTGGCACAGGTCCTATCTGTACAAGTGATGTCTTCAGCACGGGTCCGAGTGTCCCCACGGTCACACCCCTGGCTGCTCAGGATGGTCAGTGGTGGCCCTGCTCTAGGAGGAAGACCCCGCCCTCCCCCAGCTGGAAAGGCTGGCCACCTCCAGCCCTGTGCATTCCTCCACCTGCCTGGGCAGCTCCCCACACTGTGTCTCCCGCACTGTCCTTCCAGCTCCTGGGAGTCACTGGTGGCCACCCAGCTCAGGCTTCTGCCCTCTTCTTGCCACTTGCCCTCACGGTGCAGGACACAGCTCCTATCGGGAGCACCTTCAACGCCCCCCAGCTCCCTTGAAATGCCACTCTTTCCTGTGAGCCTTGCCCCACTCGGTGACTACCTATTAATCATGGTGATGCTTGGGTCAGTGTCGGTCTCCTCTTCCCTAGGAGTTTCTGGGGAACATACCTGTCTTGAAGCTATTTTATTCCTTGTTAGCTGTGCCTGGTACAAAGCATGTGCATAGGATGGGTGGAGTGAGTGAGGGTCCGTGAGGCTGACTCCAGCAGCCAGGGAGATGAGCAGTCAAGGCCAGGGAGGAGGCTCTCAGGGTTTGGGGAGGTAGAGAACAGGAGCCGCACCCAAGGGCCAGCAGCCTGAGGAGGTGGAGTCCGAGCAGATGGCCGCTGTGGGGAAGCACAAGGGGACTCAGGCTGGAGGGCTTAGCCTGTAGAGACTGGAGGCCATGCATATCAGAAGCCCTAGCCCACAGGGCTAGAGCTCACAGGAGTCAGATACTGGGGTCTTCAAAGACACCTTTGCTGTTTTTTGTTTGTTTAATGACAGTATCTGTGACAAAAATGTTTACCTCATAAAAATGCTTTTTGATGGAGTACCTGAGCTATGTGTCAGACATGAGTGGGCAGAGTTGACAGTGGCACATCTAGCCTGGCAGGTCTGTGCGCCCCTGGGATCTGCCTCTGTATTCTGGATGGTTTTGCAGTGGGTGAGGAGGGGCCTTAAGAAGAGGACCAACCCTATGCCAGTATTGGTAATAACTGGCTTGAAGAGAAAGCATAGCTTGGGCCCAACAGAAAAGACCCATTACCTACAGTGAGGGGTGAGGGGGGTGAGGCCTGAGCAGTCAGGGAGACATTATCCTATACCACAGGTGAGCAAGCAGGTTCTCTGGAGAGCCACGTCAGATACGTTCTGGGCTCTGTGGGCCATGCTGCCTCTGCTGCAACTGCTCACCTCTGACACTGTAGCATGTTAGCCAGAAAATGAAACCTTATTTACAAAAATAGACAGCAGGCTGGATTTGGCCCCACAGGCCACAGTCTGCTAAGTCCTTCACACTCTCTAAAGACTGAGGCTCTGGTACCAGCTGCAGGGCCCTGAGGTGGGCTATCATATTAAAATACCACTGATGCCCTTAGAAAATCACCTTCCACCAGCAGAGCTCTCACTGGCGAGGTTCAGGACTCTCCCATGAGAGAGACTGGACAGTCAACCCTCTGTGGAGTGGAGCCACCAACGTGTCACGGCAGCAACCAAAGTGCACCCTTCTCAGGAAAATAAAATGTGAACCAAAAGGTTTCTTCTGCTGGGAGATACTAAGTCTACGATGGGTAGTGGGGAATGAGGGACTGGTCAGGTCTTATTGAAAGTGTTTTTGCAGGTGTGGTAGCAAAGGCAGGCTCTTTGCACAGACACTGAGGGCTGCTCCTTCCGCCGACTCCTAGGGGTGCCAGAGTCTTAGGGCTGAAGGACAGCCTTTACCGCACACATCGAATGGAAAGCACAGAGCACGGCTGCACAACACAGGAAGCTAAAAGGCCAGCGAGAACCAGTGGGGATTCCAGGCAGAGCAGGCTTGGTGCGGGAGAAGAGGATGAGACCCTAACTGGATATCAAGCTGGGCTGTGTGGGGAAGGGTTAATGCACCTGCCACGGAGAAGTAAAGCTCAACAGCAGCTTGGCGGCTTTGGAGTGCAGTTGCCAAGCAATACCTTCCTGTGGGTGCCCTCGAGGCGCAGAGAGGCCCAGCAACTCTCCCTCGCCATAGCCAGCACCGCGCACTCACCGAGGTCAGCGCGTCCACGTTGGCACCCATCAGACAGAGGTGCCGGACCACATCGAGGATCCCATTGTTGGCCGCAAGGTGTAGGGGTGTCCGTCCATACTGGGAAGAGAAAAAAACACCACAGAGAATTCTTCTCACTCTTCTTTCTTTTTAAAAAAAATTTTTTAAAGAAACTTTGAGATAAGGTCTCACTCTGTAGGTCAGGCTGACCTTGAATCGGTGATCCTCCTGCCTCAGCCTCCTGAGTAGCTAGGGTTACAGGTGAGGGCTATCACACCTGGTTCATGGCTGTTGCTTAATAAAACCCTTTGGTTCACATCTCATGGTGGTAGAGGACATTTAGGGAGCATGTTCCAGTACAGGCATTATACAAGGCACTGGGGTCCACCAGAAAAAAAGAGGAAGTGGCAGTTCCCTGCTGAGGGAGCAGAAGATTTTCAAGGACTGTGCAGTTAAAAGAGTGACTTCAAAATATGAGCTCCAAAGATGCAAAAGCAGAGGCTTGTCAAAGGTAAGCCAAGTCTCTGGCTGTGCTGGCAGCGAGGAGACATGAGTCAGGGGAGTGAGGGCTCTGAAGTTCCGGCAATATTTGCACGAAGTTCACACCGGGACACAGCCAGGGAGGAGGAGGAGGAGGAGGAAGACACCCTAATGAGGAAAAGTTCGAGGACATGCCTATTGTGCTCCTCTGCCTGGGGCTCCCGAACAGTGTGCCTGGGCAGCTCAGGACACTGCAGCAAGTTCACAGGGGTGCTGAGGGATATTTTAGGGCTCTGATGGAACCACTCGGTTAGCATACGAGGCGAGCTATGAACTCAAGGCAGTTCAGAGTCTCGGCAGTGGACCGCTCCACTTTCCTGTCAGTGACATTGTATCTCTGCACGCCTGCTTGCCAGAGCTGGTGTTTGCCTTGCTACCAAGTGCTCTGAAGAAATCAAAGGGGACAGGGAGTGAGGGTGGGGTGTGCAATCTGAGCAAGGTTTGATGAGTGTGTGGGTGCCCAACAGGAACACACAGGGGTAAGTACTTACAGTTACGTAATAATGAAACAAAGATGTCGACTTTCTTCCCATTTATGTATTTTACTTTTTTTCAGGGGTGGCTAAGTTGTTTGGACTGAACTAATAAACAGAACTGTGAGGTCCTTATTTCGCTCAGGGAAACCATGAGTGAAAACTAGAAATGCTAAGGACGCTGTGAACTGATTAAAAGGGCATCTCTGTTTCATGCTGTTTATTTTGTACTTACTGGTTTTTGTTGTGAGTTAACACAAAATCTCCAAATAATATAGGATACTGGTATCCTTCCATGGCAGAAAACACAAGTCCTCACCCCTACTCCACCTCTGCCTGCTCACGCCCATGCCCACAGCTATTCCTACTTAACATTTCAGGGCATTGCCCTACAAGATGTTACCTAAGAATCCTTTGGAAGCGATAGCTAACTTAAACAGGCAAGATGATATTTTCCATTCTACAGTTAACCTGCCTCACTCAACAACAGATTGTGAATGCTTTCCCATATCTGTCACTGGATGCATTACAGGATTCTGAACAGCCAAATGGCACTTGGTACATGGCTATGTTAGGGTTTATCTAGCCAGCTCGACTGGGATGGACGGTTAAGAGAGTTCTGATTCCTTGTTGTAAACAACGCTGCAGTGTGCCCACATGTTCATGCTCTGTTTACTATCATCTTTACAGTGATTCAGAAAGGAGATATTAAATTTTCCAATCTCCTAGAGAGGAAAAAAGGATTTTGAAGATCTGCATAAAATGTTTGGTGGATAAAATGTTTGGTAGATAAAATGTAAGGAAGATACAGTTTTGGCTACAGATTATACACGGTTTTATAGAAGGGAAGAGAAACAATGAACAGAAATATGAGGAAGAAGAGGGGGAAGGAAACTGACAGTGTGAAAGACCCCTTCTTTGGACTGAATGGAACTGGAGCTCTTAACACGACAGTCCAAGCACTCCACCATTGGACCCAGTGGGACCCCAGCTTCCACATCTCTCTCCCCCCAGTCACCTTTTCCCGAATTGAGTCCCTCTCATCCCCTATGTGTCATGTATGGTCCCCAACAGACACCCACACTTTGCTCTGTCTCTGTCTCACTTTCCTCTGATCTCATCATCTGCCGAAGCCTTAGTCACGTTATCATCTGAGAGCTTTCGCCGATTCTTTATTGTCCAAAGTGCTGCTTCTGTGTTTTCCACAGCACACGAGCCCCTGTCACAAGAATGACGACAATATGACAGCTACTGCTCCTGAATGTGCATACCCTTGTCTAAAAGCAGCCTGAGGGCAGTTATCCCGTTTGACACCCACAAGCACCTCTCACCATGTGTGGCATGGTACCGTCCGGGAAAAGCATTAAGAACGCTTGATGTGTGCAGAGTTCCCTCTCACATTCTTAGATGTGAGTGTGTGGGCGATGTGCTTCTCCATCTTTACTTATTAGAGCCAACACAGAAAGAAGCAAGTGAGCAAAGGCCATGAACTCCGCGTCATCTCCTTCCTTCTTCAGCATGTTCTCTAACATGGCTGGGTTAACAGCCATCCTCCTGGACTTCAAACAAAGGGAGTGACACATGAAGGAGTTTGAAGGGCAACAGAGACAGTGATGAGGCCCAGTCACACACTGTGATGGCAACAGGATCTGAAAGGTCATTTTCCCTGGAGAATATCTAATCTAGTAGAAGGAGGCAAGGCAGGACCCTGGGGAAAGAGCAACAGTGGGCTTGAAGCCTGTGGATGCCCCACACCACATCCACGCTGACAGTGCTTACTGAGCAAGCCTGATAGCTGGATGGGATGTGCCCTGGAGGAAAACTAATGCCTTTCCCTTATTTAAGCTTCTCTAGAGTCTCCATCACCTGTCTTTAGAAAACAAAAAACAATGGGAAGAAATAGCAAAATAAGAGTACTGTGGTTTGGACATGGTTTTATCCCTCAAAGGTCTCTGCTGGGGGTGTGCCCTCCAATGTCACAGTGTGAGGATGTGGTGGAGCCTGCAGAGGTCAGGCACCGAAGGGGGGGATCAGGTCTCTGAGGCATCCAAACCTCTTTAGAGCAGGTTAGGGCTTGAAGGAATGGACCGGTTACAACAGCGAGCTGTTAGGCAAAGTTGCTTCCTCTCTTGGAACATGATATCCCTCTCCTGCTCTTCCACTGCCCTTCTCCTCCTTCTCCTTCTCCTTCTCTCTCTCCCCCTCCCTTCCTCCATCCCTCTCATGCATTCCTGCCACGTGGTGATATTCGCCATGCTGTATGCAGCCAGATCCTCACCAGAAGCTGACTTTATGGGTCCACCTGATCGTGAACTTTCACCCTCTTAACACTGTGAACGAAATAAACCTGTTTCTTTTATAAAGTGCTCAGTCTTGGAGATTTTGTTATAGTAACATGAAATGGACTCTGATGAGAAGTAGCATCAGTCCTTCTGAAGGAGGTATGAGACCCATGGCTTGGTTATTTTTCATGTTGCTGAAACAAAATACCTGACGCTCAAAGAAGGAAAGGTTTATTTAGCTCAGAGTTTGTAGAGGTTTTAGTCATTATCACCTAGCTCTAAAGCAGGCGGTACAAGGCAGAGGGGCAACAGCTCATGGCCGTGGAAGACAGCAAAAAACGAAGAGGGAATTTAACGGCATCTTTCTACCCTTTTTATCTTATCTAGACAATTTAGGGTGGGTAGCACTCACACCCTTGATCCTAGTGCCCTTGAGCCTAGCACTGTGTCATGAATCAGTCACACACTTCAGATTCAGCCATCTCTGAAAAAGCTCTACCTACAACTGAATGAGGCTTTGGGGGTACATCTAGACACAAGCAGTAACACTCAAACCCTGGGCCCCCAAAGACGCACGCACATCCCTTTAGGCAAAAGGCATGTGGTCTATTTCTGAGTTGCCAAAGTCTTTACACTTTTAGCATTGCTGAAAAGTGTAAGTCTAAAGTCTCCTCTGAGATTTAAGGCAAACTTTTAGCTGCAAGCCTCTGTATAAATAAAAAGAAAGTTAAACACTTCTAACATTTAATGGCACAAGACAGACATTCCCATTTTAAAAGTTACAACAGGGGAATACAAAGGAATAGGACCAAAGCAAGTCTAAAATCCAGCAGGGCAAACATTAAATCCCACAGTTTCACCTTTAGAATCTCCAGCAATCTGTGGCAAGTTGTGAACTCTAAAGGGCTTGGGTGGTTCTGTCCCTCTGGCACTTCCAGTGGTTGTAGTTTCCATGGCTTCTCTCTGGGGCTAACTCTATTCTCTCCTTGTAGTTTTCTTTAGATGATCCATGTTCTTAGCTTTTTTAAACTTCTGAGGTCTCCACTGCACCTTTGGCTTCACACACAGCTTTATACACTGTTCCCTCAGGGGTGCACTGCCTGGCCTCTCAGGCTTTTTTTGTGAAATCTGGGTGGAAGCCTTCCTGACCTCACAAGTCCTGCATTTTGCATGTACCTAAATCCAACACCATGAGGGTGACGCCAAGATTTCTTGCCAGCTAGAGTAGTAGTTAGGCTTTTTTTTTCCTTGGCTGTAGAGGTTGAGTGCCTATGAAGTAAATCTTGAGGAACAACTTCTCTAGGCTGCCGCCATTTTGGAACATGGTGCTCTGGGGCTTTTTTTTTTAAAGCGAAGTCTCTTACAGTGGACCCTTGACAGGAATTCGATTTGTCTGAGAAGGCTGTAACTCAAGTTGGTCAATTAAAGGCTCAGGCTCCTCTACACAGCCTTCAAAGTCTCTCTCCTGTACACAGGCAGATCTCAGTGTCCTTAGACAGACACTGACCCAGGATTTCTCAATTAACCCCACACAGGGAAGGATGTTGTCATGTTCCTTCCAAAACTCTTTAAGGGTTAAATCTGTATCTGAAACCATCTGGAAGCACAAGTGGCTGGCATTTGGGTCTTAACTCAAGACTTTGGTTGTGAGTTAAAACTAAAATTCTGGAGATAACCTAAGTTGTTTGTCTGTCAGGCCAGTCATAACTTGAGGGTCCGCTGCACTTTTGTAACTTTGAGGCTGTAAAGGATGCAGTCTTGTTGCTTCTTGTGATGCCCTCAGGCCATCTTATTTATTTATTTATTTATATATATTTACTTATTTATTTATTTATTTTTCAGCAATCAAGATCTCCTCTGCTCTATGTTTGCAGTCCACCCCTTTCCTTCCTTCCTGGCCAAACTCAAAACATTTTAAATCATTCTGCTGGGCAATTTGCTCTTGATTCTCAACATAAATCTGGCTAGAAGCCCCCCGCAGCAGCTGTGGCACCGCCTCAGCATTAGGCTGCCTTGAAATTTCTTCTGCCAGATGAACTGGTCCACTGCCCTTAATCTTAGGCTCAGGCAAAGTCTCTGGACATGAGGAAAATGCAGGCAAACTTTCTGCCAAGGCATAACACACATTGCCTGGAGTCTAGCAGCGAACCCAGTCCTCCTTCCCAGCAGCAACCTCCTGAGCCTAGTCTTTACCGGCAGGGTCTTTATCAGCCTTCTGGGTTTCTCAGCTCTGATCAAAATCTCCCATCACACACAGCTAAAGGTGTTCCAGCTCTGCTTTTTCAGCCAGCATCTCTCAACCTTTCTAAACTTTTCCCCTTCCTATAATCCAGGCTCCTAAACCACATGGTCAGGTACAGTCACAGCAACGGACTTCCCTCTCAGTATTAGAATCTGTCTTGGTTACTTTTCTTGTTGCTGAAGTTAAAGGAGGAAAGATTTATTTAGCTCATAGTTTGTAGAGGTTCAGTCCACAACTGGCTGGCTCCAAGGCAGGGTATCACGGCAGAGGAACAACAGTTCATGGCGGCAGAAGACAGCAAAAGCAACAAGGGAATATAACAATGCCTTTCTGCCCCTTTATCTTATCCAGACTACCAGGGCGGGTAGTACTCACACCCATAACACACTCTAGACTCACCGACCTCTGAAAAAGCCCCACCTATGACTGCATGCGGCTTTGAGGAGACATCTAGACACAAGCTATACAAAGCCACAGTATGCAACTAGACACAAAGCCACAGTGGGCTAAATGTACGAGCATTGAAGACCACCTGCAGTGCCTGTCTGCAGCGCCCCAAAAGGCAGAGCTGTTGACAGCCAATGCATTTCCCTTTCTAAAGGGGGTCTGGATGAGAGCTTTAAATTTTACTGCTAGTTCCAAGAGGATAAAACTATGGAACTGACAATTCCAACTTCTGCTAAGCTCAATTCAATAACAAATCCATGTACTGAATGCCCCTTATGTAGTTGGTGTGTCACAGTGTTCAAAATGAAAATTCATATCAACATTTATGAAATACCAATGGGCAGTTGCAGTGTCAAAAATGTAGACTTTTCCATCAAATAAGCCAGGGTGTTTTGTTTTGCTTTTTGTTTTAGTTTTACAGTGCTGAGGACTGAGCCTAGAGCCTCATGCATGTTTTAAGCATATATGCCACTACTGAGTTACACACCCTTTCATGTTTTTAAACATGAAGTCTGGGATTGTCTTAGTTTTTAACAGGCATATTTAACAACTGCACTGTTTACCGTTTTAGGGGGATTGGGGGAGATTTAAGCCAGGCCTTGTGCCTGCAAAGATGTGCTGTCCTACTGACCTACATCTGCAGACTTTGTGCATACAGCAGGCCCACTGTGTTATAGTGGACAAGTCTTGCATTTTTTTTTTTTTGGTACTGGAGATTGAACTCGGGACCTTGCGCTTGCAAGGCAGGTGCTGAAACCACTGAGCTAAATCCCTGGCCCAATAGTGGTCAAGTCTAAAAGAAGTCTAAGTGCTCGATGTTCCTTGAAGCTACTTGTGATTCGTGTAAAGAATCCTAGAAAGAAAACCAAGGTCTTGATGCTATTTCACATTACATTTGGCTTTTCCCTTAAGTCACTTAGAGAAGTGACGTGGCAAGATAAGAATGAGATAAAGCAGGAAAGCACCAGCAGCTGATGCCTAGGCCGCTGCTGGCGTCTCCCTTCCCAGAATGAGAAGGTCATCCACTTTAATTTCCATCACAGCTAATCACACAGTATGCAAGAGGGATGATTTTTCTATAGAAATATACTTTTCTGGCTGTTTTAGATTTTACCTCAAACAAACTGTAATAAAATCCTGCGGGCATTGTATGTGACATTTATAAACAGGTATCTCCCACAGTTAAATCAATCCTGCTTGGACTTTGTTTTTAACACAATCACAGCAGAAGAGTGTCTACAGACCTAAAATGACAGGGATATCCAAATGCTCCATCTTATTTGATAATGGACAATCTCAGTGGGATTCAGAGGAAAGAGAAGGTGGAGGCCAACCTCTAGAAATCAGCATATGGAATTTTTATGAACCTGGACACACATCATTCATTACTTCATTTTTTTATCACTCACTAGATGATAGGCCCCGTTTGGTCCTTCCCAAATAACTTAGCATAAGAAAAAGGGTTAGGAACTGTTGACCACAGAATCCTCAATGGAGAAAGACAAGAAATCCATAAGGCCCTAGGAACCCTGCCCAAGTCACGTGGTCAGGTACTTCCTGAAGGCTCAGTGCTCCAGGCAGATGCCCTCATTTGGACCATGGCATCTGGTTCCTCTGTAGGAGCATGCATTCATCCTCATTCTGTCTCTCTCTCTCTCTCTGAATGTCCGTCAGTGGGATCAGGATAGTCAGAAGGAAAGCACTTATTAATATAAAAATTTTTTGTTATTCTAGGAAGTTATTCAAAAGTCACATGTAAAGTGGGACTATCCTATAAAAAGTGAGTCCATATGAGCACTGTGAACAATCAAGAAATACACATAGAAACCTGGCCAAACCCCAGAAACAAGTGGATAGGAAGACCCAAGCGGATTCTGCAGGGGTCCCATTCACCACATGTACCTTGTTTGAGACGTCCAAAGTACAATCTGCTTCACAGAGGGCCACCACGATAGGCACATTGCCGTCTTTGCAGGCCACATGAAGCGGGGTGTTGCCGTGCCTGTCTTGGAAGTCGACCAAACACCCTTGGTTGATGAGAGTCTTGATGACCTCCATCTGACACCGCCGTACAGCAAGGTGAAGGGCGATGTGCTCATCCTAGAAATAAACCACAGCCATGAGCGCTGTGCACCTGGGCAAGTGGCCCTGTCTCCCCACCTTTCCTGCCACTGCTAGCTCAGGCCTAGTTAGCAGAAGGACCATCAGTACCAATCCTAGAGCAGGGTTTAAGCAGTTATTGATTCTGTGCTAGAAGGCTGGGAGAGGCTTCATCTGTTCCACTTTAAATAACTATAGCCTAAGTGGAATATCAGCTTGATTAATTTAGGGTCAGACAGTACAACCAAATGGAAAGAACCCACACTTCTTTGTTTCTGGATTCATCACACATAAGTGATTCAGCGGCCTGTTTGATTATTTAAAACACACTTTTAAAAACATTTGCCCAGCAATATTCACTAACTTCTTAAGTAAGAAGACTTTTATTTTATCTTACACCCAGAGAAACTGAAAACAGTGAGAAATAATTTGCTCAAGGGCTGTCACATGCATGAGGGCAGACATAACTTCCTTAACCTCCGTGTCCCGCAGAAACAAGCCTGTGAGTTCATCCCACTCAGTACAGACTCCCTGAGGAAGAGATGTGTTGATTTTCAGGCATAAGTGAGAGAGTTCCGAAGCATTTCTGTAACGTCTCTGTACCAGTTCCCCACCTCAACACTCTCATCATTTGGGGCTGGATACTACTGTGGTGGGGCTCCTCCATTGGCTGTAATCTACTATATGCCACTAGCAACTGTACCCTAGTGTGGCAACCAAAATATGTCTCCAGACATGATGAAAAGTTCCCTATGACCAACACTGTCCCCCTCTGAGAACCACTGCTCCCTACAAGACAACACTTCACAAATGGAAGTTCATAAATTAACTGCAGCACCCCAAATCTAACTATACGTGGCAACATAAGCCCTGAATTGTAATTCACAATAAAAGCAGATTATGCTGAATTTGCTTAAAAAGAAAACCTCTGATATGGAATTGAAACTGCCAGACAAGTAAGTGTGGTTTATTGTCTTTACACAAAACAGCAAGTGGTGGAAGCAAATAAACCACCTATTTCTTTGTGAACTGAAAAAATTAATAGTGTGTTGCCAGTCTTAGTCCTCAAAGAGATTTGTTTGGGATTCAGTGATCATCACTGCCCTTACTCCAAAGCTGAAAAGGCTAAAATTAGAAGAGGGCAAGATGGTTGGACTGAGTCATAAATTTTGTTACATGTCACAAATGCATATTATTTATTATACCAAATCTAGAAAAGCTCAGAGAATCTTTGGGATAGAGAAAAGATAATTACAAGTTGCTGTATTCAAGAGCTTGTTGTCCTGGGGAAACACACTGAGGAGTCTTGCAGTCCCATGAGTGAGTCCCCGAGAACACTACTCTGACTGTGACCCACTCCCCCAATGAAGCACCTTGTCGGAGGCATTCAGGTCAGCTCCATGCTCAGCCAGACACTCCACAATGTCATGGTAGCCCCTGGCAGAGGCTGTCAGGAGTGGCGTCTCTCCTTCCCGGTTCTTGATGTTCACATTACACCCAGCTTCACAAAGGGCTCTGGCCACAGAGTAATAGCCATGCCAGGCGGCACAGTGCAAGGGGGTTTCTTCTTCCTGGCCCAGAGAGAAGCACACCAAGGAGGATGACACAATGATGTGAAAGAAAGCATAGGCATGGTGAGAATTCAGGAACAAATTCAAGTCAAGGAGGTAGGGGTAAGAGCTCCCAGCTATTGGGGCAAAACATTAGTCTGAAATAACCCCAGTGTGAGATGTGACCAGTTAAGAGGCAGATCCAATGTCTCTCCTTCCTTACTCTTCTTTCCTTAAAACTTGTGTGTAGGAAGAGTTTGACTTTCTCAGCATTTTACTAACAAGCAACTTTGGGGAGCCCACTGAAAACAACAACTGACTCAGCTTTTCTGAACACAGAGCCTTCGTGTGGGTGGATTTATAACATCTTGCTGGTGAAATTGCCTTCATTTACTTCATCTGAAACTATTAACAGGAGGAGAGCACTTCTCAGAGAAAGAATTCTTCTAAGTACTCTTGCCTAAAAATTTCCTCATGTACATAATACAAAAATGAGTCAAAAAAAATAGCAAGACTGCTTTGGCAAGGAAGCAATCAAAATAACTGCTTTAAGGAGTGAAAGAAAGGGCTGGCCTGGAGGTTGCTAAGGATTGTGAGGTCTGTGTCTTCACTCTCAGCCTGAGTAAATACTTATTAGTCTGTGCTGTGATGGTGACAAAGGTGTCTTCTGAACCCAAGACTGTTGGTTTGAGACCAGCTCCAACCACTCAGGAGATCCGAGCAAGTCATGGAACTTTTCTCCCCCTTAGTTTCCTCATCTGTCGAATGAAGACAACAGGAACAGTGGCCCACCTGACAGGTTTCCCAGAAGATTAAATGAGGCAGTGCAGCATTTAGAAGGGAACCTGGCCCCGACACTTCCCCCCCACAGTGCTCTGACTGCACGTGTGTCCTCAGTAAGGGCCAACAGGGAATCTAAGCTGGATAAAATGCCAAAGGCTCCAGTGATCGTTTGGTTGCCTGCATGTGACACAGGGAGGGCATCGGCCACTGGGACCCACCTTGTCCTGGAAGTTGGGATTAGATCCGAAGCTGCACAGGAGCTGAACCACGTCAGCATGGCCATAACGAGCTGCCACGTGAAGGGCCGTCTCTCCAGACTGCAACGACATAGGCCAAGCCCGCTCAGTTAGCAGGTCATGGAGGCCAGAAGGCAAGGCCTGCTCCCACACATCCCTGGCCCATGTCCTCCTCTTGGTGGCACCCGGTCCCATATACCAACAGCCCAGAGGCAGGCCAGGGGCCAGCAGGCAGTGGTGCTGACCCACACAATAGCTCATGCTGCCAGAGATAACCTCAAGTGCACACTTGCAGTGAGACTGCTTTGCGTTTCCCATGAGGGTGTGCTGAGCCTTCGTGACATAAAGATGGTTCTAGTTGTCCACTTTAAGAAATACGAAATCCCAGCCGCCTCAGCAGTTCCGGGTCGGGCACAGCAGCAGCTGCCCCGCGGAGGAAGAGGAACAGCAGCAGGAGCAGCGACACATCTTCACTAACTGATGCTCTAGAGCAAGGTGCAAAGCAACAACAATCACAAACATCAGAAATAGAAAGAAACAAAAAAGTCTGTGTTCCATTTACAGAATGAACTTCATGAACTTGAAAAGCAAATAGCAGCAGTCTGTGCGGAAACTAATGAAACAGAGAGGCAAATTTATCAGCAAGATGCTGCCACTGAGAATTCCAAACTTCAGTGTGGAAACCTGGAAGTTCAAATCAAGACCTTATATACAGAAAATATAAAGCTTAAATTTGATATAGCAACAGCTCAAGAAGATTTTAGTGAACAGATGAAAAGATATAATGCATATTATGAAAAAATAAAGGCTCATAAAGATAGTCTGGGGGAAATAGAAAGAAAATGGTCATTCATGACTGAACTTTAAGAAAAAAGAGATCTCATTAAAACACTAAAGACAATGAAAGAGGAACTTAGGCAAGGTCTCCAAAATCCAGGCGGAAACAGAATAACACAAACACAGGCAGGTATTTCAAAGCTAAAGAATAAAATTGTAACTATAAAAGAATCTATCAGGGAAACAACTTGTTTTCTTGAAGAAGAAAAAAAGACACATGAAAAGTTAAGAAAAGAAACAGAGGTACAGCGTAAGAGGTATGATGCAATTCTGAAGCATTTGCATTGTCAGGTAAACAAGCTGCAGTCAAACAGAAGACAATGGCAATGGAACATTCAACAACTGGAAAAAAACTGCAGCTGAACTAAGAAAATCCACAGGAATGAAAGATTAACACTGCCATGGGCAATGTGGAACAGAGGCCATGCCAACCAAAATTATGGGGCAGAATATTAAGAAAATTTTTTCTTAACAATAAAATCTTTCTTAACTGTCAAAGGCCTGTATTAGTGACAGATATATTTTCTCTTTTAAAAATCACACACACAGAAAAAGAAATACAAAATTCCTTTTTGAATACTAGGTTCATCACACAGCAGTTATTTAAATGTACAGTTTTATTTATTAACAAATTCATCATTCCATTGCCTGTCTATGCTTAGAAAGTTATTTCTTATTCTCAAGCGATGCTAAATCAACTGTTACTATCTGTAACAACTTTCTGTGATTAATAACAAGGGAAATCCTTTAAGATACTGAACTTATATCTGTTCCCCTAAAAGTCAGAATAATTTAAAAGATACTGCATTGCCAACTGTCAAAAAACTGCCAGAATGCATGTATGATGGTTTAGATCTTAAATGTCCCTAAATGTCTATGTCCTACAGGCTCAGAGGCCAGTCCACGGCACCACTGTGTTGTGGTGGAACCCAAGTTAGGGATGCAGCCTGGGAAAAGGAAGTGAGGTCATTCGTGTGTGCCCTTGAGGAGGATCCTTGGCCCCAGTTATTTCTTATCTGTCTCTTGGTTTCGGGGACACCATGAGGTGAGCAGTGTGCCATATCACACACTGCCCACCATGATGCTCTGCCTCACCACAGGGCTCAGAGCAACACAGCCAACTGGCCATGGGCTGAAACTTCTGAAACTATAAGCCAAACTAAACCTTTTAAGTTGATTGCTCAGGTATTTTTTCATAGTGACCGAAAGCTAGCTAATTGTCTGTCTGTCTGTTTCTCAGGTTGGGCTTGAACTCACAATCCTTCTGCCTCAGGCTCTAGAGTAGCTGACATGGGCTGGGGATTCAGCTCAGTGGCGCTGCGCCTGCCTTGCAAGTGCAAGGTCCTGAGTTCGATCCCCAGTTCCAAAAAACAAAACAAAACAAGCAGAGTAGCTGACGTTACAGATGTGTGCTGTCACACCTAGCTAACACAGTCTCTTTGATGTGAATGGCATCCCTGCAGGGATGGTATAGCATACAACCCATGCAATTGTGTGTGGCAGCCTTAAATTAACATTACAAATTAGTTTACAAGCACTGGAAACAGAGAAATGTACAGTAGAATAAGTAATTAATGAGGAAGTAGAAACCCTAGGTTCCACCAGGTTCTAGCCCTGCCAATTAATGCACAGGATTACTGTATGAACTAAATAAAACACATTTATATTAAAGTAAGCTACACTGATAAATCGAAAACTTTACTAGCGTCTGGGTCGGTCCCACAACAGCCCTACTTAGGTGCATTCTCTCACTGATCTCCAAGTGCTAGTGACTGTAGGTCAGCACTGTCAGCCATTTCAGAAAGGAAGGGAGTGGAAGCATCTGCTCAGCAGCATAAGGTCAATTAGGAAGTCAGGACTCCGGTCTCTTTCTAGTTGTTTTCCTGATGGAACTTGGGGATCCATGTTACGGGAAAGATACTTCAATGCTTGCATATTATGAAAACTGTCTCGCAGATTTCAGCTTAAGGCAGATTTCAATATTAGACCAGGCTGTGGGCAAAGGGAATTTCAGCTTTAAACTCTTTACAGGAGGATCTTGGTCCTGAATGAACCCTCACTCTGGGGTCCTGGATGTCCTTACCTTGTCTGTAACATCCAAAGGGCACTTGTTCTCATTGAGAAATTTCAAAGTATCCACGTGGCCATGCCGAGAGGCCCAGTACACAGCATTGGATCCACCCTATATGAAGACCAACATGGAGTCACAATCGCATAGAACTGACAGATCTGAATGCACGCTTCCTTCAGAAGCATTCAATTCCCCTTCCTAGGCAATGACAAATTCCAAAGAAGCCACTTCCAAAAGGAATAAAACTCATTCAATGTTACAGTTTTAGCAACTGTACCACAGTTATATAAAGCATTAGCATTAGGGGACACTGTGTATAAGAGAATTCTCTGTACTATCTTTGTAACTTTCTTGTAAATCTGCAATTATTTCAAAGCAAAAGATATTTTTTCTCTCCTTAAACCTCACTTCAACCTCTAGTTTGAATTTTTTATCCAGTCGCCCTCAGTACCTGCAGAGTGGTGCTAGGGCCCTCTGCAGACCCTAATATCCATGGGTGCTCAAGCCCCTTCTATAACATGATGCAGAATTTGCATATATCCTATATATATCCTCTCATACAGTTTAAATCATCCCTAAATTAATCATAATACCCAATGAAATGGAAATGCCATGTAAATAGTTGTTATAGTATATTGTTTAGAGAATAATGAAATGAAAAGCTTTCTGAAAGTCTTTTCCCACTTTTTTTGTTTTGGTACTGGGGATTGAACTCAGGAACCTGCACTTGCAAGGCAGGTGGCGGCACCACTGAGCTGAATCCCTGGCCCTCCCGCACATTTCTGATCCAGACCCCATGGAGGTGGAGGGCTGACTATACTGCAAAGAGCTAGATATCACCACTGACAGCCCTACTGGCATCCATGGGAGCTGAGGACAGATCCACTGTACAGATTATCAGGTGTTACTCAATGTTCTCTACACTCCTTCTGTGGTACATACCTCAGAGGGAGTCATTCTTACTTGGTCGCCCTAACAAACATACAGGCAAATTCTTTTCTGAATAACTTAATTAGATAATAAAAACTTTTGCAAATCTGACTTCTGGCACTAAGGAGCAAAATCTGAGGTCGGTGCAAAGAAATGTTTGCCTTTTCCTAATGCATGTCTGGAAACAGACTGCACAATCTGTTGAAGCAATTCATCCTCCTTTACAGGAAACTGGGAGATGAATTAGGACACACATTTTTTTCCTTCTAGTACCCTACAACTAGGAGACATTTGGGGAGACTTAAAAAATGAATTCATTTGTTGATAAAACAGAATCATGACCTTATCCTGGACATCAATTCTTGAGCCTCGTTTTAGGAGCAGCTGTAGTATTTGAATATTCCCACAGCCAGCAGCAATGAGTAACGGAGGTGTCCCATGCTAGAACAGATGAAAAAAAAATGACGACTGCTCAAGTTGGACAGAAAGAAGAAGCCCAAGCTGTTGCTGCCGCACCACCCGCCACGGCTCTCCCAGGTCTCAGGCCCAGTGTTGGGGGTGGGTGGCGGAAACAAAGCCGAAGGACAAGCATCTCTTCCGCTCTGGGATTCACAATCCGATGTGACACTGCCGTCTGCAGGGTAGCAGACCCAGAGCTTCATGGGTGGAGGTGCAATGGGGGAACGAAGGAAGGCCCTCAGTGCAGAAAGACCTTGCGTGTAACTGCAAGCGCGCTAAACGGAAATAGCTCTCCTCTTGTTAGGAAGCTTCCAATTAGAGGGGAGAACGGAGAAGCAGATGTTATCATTCTGAACTTGGACTTGGAGGTGCAGGGTCACTGACACATCCCTGGCAGAAGAGAAACAGACCTTGTTGGGTTGGTTAACATCATAGTTGGACAATGAGCCCAGAAGGTGCTGCAGGCCTGGGACGTTGTCATCGTTGATAGCATGGATGATGGCTTTCATCACAAAGGAGTCTTCCTCATCCTGGAGAGAAACATTGAGGGCAGAAAGAAAGAACAGCTTGCTGGTCCTCTTCCTCTTATTAACATAAGCAAAGCTGCTGCTTACTTGTTAAAGGGACTGTGCAGAGGGGAGTGAGCCATTTAGCACCCTAATCCACTGGTCATGAAGGGAACTGGAAGGCGACGTTTTGCCATTTCCATGCTGCCAACTAATACCATCTACTCTTTACCTGAGCCAGGGCCACCTGCACTGTAATCCACAGAGGAAAGAGATTTCAAGGTTCAGATTTTGAACAATGATGATGACAAGAAACCCTTTGTGTTTATCAGAGAAATCTGTCAAAATACAGTTCCAGAAACCACTGTGGGGAATTTCAGGTGAAATACAAACTCTCTTTCTGGATAAAGGAAAAGAAAAACTACAGAACCCAGGAAATGGTATCTTTCAATAAGATAGTCTCTATTAATTACAGAATTAATGTTTTTGATCACTTGATAATCATCATATGTAAAATAAAATGGTGAAATTCTCTGATGCCTGATCACAATGGGGAAAAACACAAAACTTGAAGTTGGAAAAAGGAAACTTGGATGAATGTCTAATCACACAGAGAGAGATAACTACAGAGTACTAAACAGCAAGTTTGTTAATTCTTTGCCACTCTGTAATTTTTTTAATAAGCTACTTCCAAACTGTGGTCCACAAAACCAAGGAATAACCTAGAAAAACCCTAAGAAAAGTTTTTGGACTTATAGACATATGGCTAATGGAAATTTCCAGTCTGGAGGAGCACATGTGGAGACCAGGCCTCTGCTTGTGAGGTAACATGGAGAAGCATTTCTCAGAGTCCTTTCTCCTCTATAGATCTGAATCCAAACAAACTCTACACAAGGTTAGATGGTATTTGTGCAGATCGCCACTGTTTAAGACTGTTACTTGTTTTGCTTTGCTATCACAATTCAAATAGATGACGAGAAGTCACCGGCATGGGAGTGAAATTCAAGAGAAATAGGGTATGTGGCAGGGATAAAACAGTCTGTGAGCAAAGCCTCAAGATGAGTGGAACACGAAGGTGAGCAGTGACACTGGCCTCTGGGGGGTGTTTCTTTACTTAGATTTCCCATGCAAAGCTTTACACTGTGACACGTGTACTCTTCCCTGACCAATTACTCGGGATGATCGTAATTTACAATCCTTAGTCACACTCATTATCCTACTTGGATTCTTAGTTTTCATCTTTCTCCTGGTTCCACTGCTATGCTAAAAGAATTCCCAAGGATGCCTCCTTCCTCCTCTTCCTAATTTATTTCTCTCCCACTTGTTTTTCCTTGTAACATCTCCTATCTCTTTTTACTGCGCAAGGCTAGATGTGGAGCCTCAGTGAAGCTACAGCTTCAGGGGTAAAAAGAGCTGGTGACTGCTGGCGTGTGATCTGTGCCTGTGGAGTCCCCAACTCCACCCTGACTATTCAGTTATCGGGCAAGGTATTTCCCATCACCCTAGCGTGCCTGCCCTTTCTGAAGTCCCTTTTACCTCCAGCATCAACAAAACCCTGCTGTTTGATTATCAGGGGAGTCTTGTTGAGTGCACAAGTGTCTAGTCATATCTGAAGAGCTATGTGTTATTAGGGTTCAGTTTGGATTGGAGGGAAAATGTGGTGTTGCTCTCAAGCCTCTTGGGCAATGCAATGTCAATAAACCAATTGAGCGTGGCTTTCTGATCTACCACAAGACACCACAGCCAGCAGAGTAGCATCTTCCTTATGTTCTGGGGCAGGGGAAGAGGGTGAGAACTGCACCTCTCGTATCACTGAGATTCTCTCATGTCAGGAGCAACTGATGGCTCTCATTTAGTTCGTACAAAGTTGAATAAGCTCTTTTCTTCTCCACTGGTTAAGTTCTCCTTTACCAGTGTGTGTGTGCGTGTGTGTGTGTGTACACATGCGTGTGCGTGTGTGTATGTATATGTATATATGGTACACGGTGTGAAGAAAAGTGTGAGTAGTACGAGAGGCAGAAGAATCGTCCCAACCATTCTGGGTTGTTGAAGAACCAGAACAATTTAAACATTCTAGACACACAGCAGTAAGAAAGAGGATCACCAAGGCAAACAAGTTTTCTTACCAGAGTATCATCACTCCTGGCAACACTCATGTTACTTCTGGACAGGAATGACCTGGACAATCTTTGGCAGAGTGATATCAAGCGAACAGATTGCTTTAAAAACAACAACAACAACAACAACAACAAAAGTCAGAGGAAGAGAAGAACAAGAGCTTATGTAACAACACTCAAATTACTGCAAATGACAATCTTTTAGGTAATATTCACTGCTGAGCACATGGTTTCTCTGGGGGAGGGTGATCCCAGGATAGCTTGTACAGTATTTGCTTGAAGAATAATTCTAAAGGTCTTATAAATCCAGACAACATGATAGAGATTCTTCATTTTATTATTAAGCTGCAGAACCAGATACTCTAAATCCCTTCATACTCCATACTTTGTTCTCTGTTCTTTGAGGAATGTGATCACACCTTACCAAAGTCCTTAAAGGTCTCTCAAGTAGCACAGTATACAGAGCCAGGAGCTCAGGATACAGGGGTCCCTGAATTCCCTGAACAGTGGTGGTAGATAATGTGATTATCAGAGCACATACAGTTACTGAAGAGGAACAAGTATGGGGTACATTGGTCTATAGGACAAATATTTATGTATTTATTATACAAGTATGCTCAAAGGCAGAAGCACCAGAGAGAGTCAGAGGCAGAAAGAGAGAAACTCACAGTAGATCTCTATACTTTAAGCCTTCTGCGAAGGCTTCTTCGAGAGTCTAGAGCTGTGGTACTTAACCCTATCCTGGCCCCCAAAACTTAATGGGCGTGAAAATAGGTCACTGTTGGTCTAGTGCTGGGGAAACACAGACAGCGCTTACTTTCTCTGGATGTGCCATGATCCTAGCAATAATAAGCCATCCCGTTACATTCTGAAACTTGAATTTTTGCTCTGAGGATGCTCATACCAGTGTCTCCTGGCTCCTGCTGAGACCATCCACAGGCCAAGCCCTTGGGGACCAGGCTGAATTGAAAGGCTCATTTACGTACACTCTGCTATAAATGTATTGCCATGCTGCTTACTCCAAAGAATGAATTTATTAAAAATGCTGCTTGCTGTATTTAGAAAAAGACTTCATTGTAACTTTATTGTACTGATAATAAAATATTGCTTTGGGAATGGAATTGACAAAAGAAAATGCAAAATTGCAAAATTACATTAAAAAATGAGTTAAAAGGAATTAAATGGTTTTTGCTTGTCCTTAAAAGTAGGGTAATGGTACAGAAGAGTACAACAAATCAAAAACAAAAAAAGAATGTATTTTACCATTGTCAGGTCAGAAGAGATGAACCCTGACTAGACAGAACTATGCAGAAGAAATCATTTTTTTAATCTTTCCATATCAAATAATCTTACTTTCCATTTTTTCCGTGCCGCAAACTTTTTGAATTTCTCCATATTTACTGCTGATGCTTTTCTACTAAGTGCTTGTTGTGTATCTTTAGGCTAAAATGAAAATTCAAGAAAAAAAACTGAGAGCTCTCCAATTACAGAAATGGGTTATATGACAATTTTTTAAAACCTCTCATTATTCCAAATAAGCTTACACATTCACCTTCTCAACATACTATTAGATGCTGGGAAAACATGCAAAACACAGGAACCTAGTCTTAGAGGTAGAACTGCCATTGCGGAGGGTTTAATATAATCCATACAAACTGGATCTGAAAAGAAGCTGAGCTTGGAGTCAAACCAAACTATAACTTTCCATACTGATAATTTGAAGATGGCAAGATTCACGCATATTCGGAAGCTTCTGAACTTGGGTATCATCAAGCAATTTCAAGCTGGGAGGAACCTCAGAAGTGTGCAAATTTGGTGGACTCCACACCATTTGAATTCCTTTTACTGCCATCTAGCTCAGCAGATACATTTAGATACTGGGCTCACATCTGACAGAAGCAGCCCAGACAACTATGGATAGGAGCTCTTACAGGCAGTGTCTTCTACTTGTTCCCAACCTACTTCTGGAATGCCACTTAATGGTTCCACGACTGTTTTTTGTTTTTGGTTTTTGTTTTGTAACTGCCGTATTTCCATGATATAGTTTGGATCTTAAATATTCCCCCAAAGGGTACAATGCTAATGGTGTAGCCTGTGTGCTACAAGGAAGCAGTGGAACCTTTAAAAGGCAGAGACTAGTGGGGGAAAGTCAGGTCACTGATGTGTGCACCCCAACCCCTCCCTGTCTCTCTCTTCCCCTCCAGGCCAACAACTTTCCTCTGCTACATGCTCCCCCCGTGATTTTTCTCCTGCCATCTCTATGATCACAAGGATGCACTCTAATCTGTCTGTTTAATGCATGGCACCGATAGCACACATAACAGTCTGGGAAAGGACCTTTGGTTAGTAGTACTCCAGGACAAATGAATTCTAGGAGGCCTGAACCAACTATTGAGAGAAATGACTAAAACAGCACGTGACTCACCTTGATCCAGGGATGCTGCAGACTATCCTGAATTGTCATCCTCTTCCTTGGGGCAGGTGGGTGGGGGAGAAAAAGATGCCATGATTACAGCAGAAAACACTAAGGTGGTTTCTGTGCCAGCTCAGCCTACTAAGCAGACACCCTGGAAAAAAGCAGTTCAGGACCTACTTCACAAGAGAAGCTGAAAGTAACACTGGTCCATTTTTTGGTAATGTCATTGTGGAAGGACTGAAATGTGCAGTTCAGAGTATCCTGAGCACATTTTCTGAAGTGCTACACAGAGCATGCTTCATTCTGACAGAAGGGAAAACCTGGGTCTGATAAAGGTGGCCTCATGCACGGAACATGGCCCAGGCCCTCTCGGGGTAATGGACACTCACTTTGGATCCTTGACCAGAAGTCTTCTGATGAAATCTTTGGCTAGGGCACTGGTATTACTGAAGTATTCTTCCTCAAATTCATAGTTGACCGCAGACACATTTGCTAACGTTTCTTGCTTAGTGTCCCCAAGAAATGGGGAGGCCCCGCTTAAGCTGTGAAAAGTAAAGTGGGACAGAGAACATGAATGGCTGCCTTGTGTCATCATTTTGCTCCACTAATATATGGTAAAGGGAGCGGGAGTAAGATTCGAATCTTATGCTTGGCAGTCACTTTAGCATTCAACCACATTTCATGGGGCGTTGAACTGTCATGGACAAGAGTCCATCCAATGCAAGAGATTCATTTAAAAAGTCAGTCTGAAATAGTGTTTAGTGGCTTTAAATAAATCCTTTCATCCTATTTTCTCTGTAGTGATGGACAGCCATGTTTTCCTACAATGGTTATGCTACAGTTCCTAATGGTTCATTCTGAATTAGGGGAATATATTTAATCAGTATAAATGAAAGATGTTAGGGGTGTAAAATGAACGTGTTTACCTAAGAGTGTGCGCAAGCTGAAAAGGACTGACATAGCACATCTGGTGAGTAAACATGATCTCAAAGAAAAGAATACAAGTGGTAGATTTGGTTACTTACAGAATATAGGTTATTACCCCGATACTCCTAGACGTAAAAGCAAAACAAACAAAAAAAAACCATGTCAGAAGAATAGTAAACTAAATCAGAAAGAGAACAACATCAAGGATTTGCTCCTTACCACATATCTGCCTCGAGACCCAGAGGTTCATAGTTGACTATCTCAGGAGCTGGGAGGAAATAAACATTTATTTACCTCAGGAAGGCAGAAAACTAGCAGATACTCTTTCCATGTGACAACCAGAAACATGGACAGGAACATGCACTTACAAAAGCTGGGCAAGCTCTGCCAGCACTGGTGATGAGATATAGATTACCACAGGAACGAAGAAACCTACCAACAAACTCTGGCGTTCCGAATATGTTCTTGAATTCATTTCCAAAGTCAATTTTATGGGCCAAGCCAAAGTCGATGATTTTGATCCGAGGTTTGGGAACATTTCTATCCAAAAGCATTATGTTCTCAGGCTAAAAAAAAGGAGAGAAAATAAAAAGCTGTAGCATGATGTTGAGGACAAGGTGGAAGAATAGTTCTTCCTTGCTCCTAAAAAATAACCAAAACAAAATAGGGAGAGGAGGGGTAGTTCAAAGAGGATACAGGGAAGATGGGATGTTTTGGCTTAGGTTCTCCCAGGAGCAGGCTGAGTCAAGGGTCTGGATGCCAAGGCTGTGTGTTGGAGGAAACGCGTGGTAGGGGAAAAGGAGGCAGAAAACAGAAGGAAGCCAGAAGAACAAGCTGTCTTATCAAGATGGATGTGACCAGAGGTCAGGCCTTTGGGACAACTTAGGGAGAAAAAGTAGAACTCAGTGTTAGTCTAAGTGAAGCACAAGGAAGCTGCGGCCTTTCCCATACCTCCCAACCCCTCATTGTCCAGAAATTCTCCACAGCCATTCATTCATGGAGTTTCTAGCTCCCAGATGCAGAACAAGACCTCATGCAGAGAGCTGCAGGTGTTGCAGCAAGCTACCTTTGGGGTGTGGGTTAGTGAGCCCTGGGGGATATAGATGGGGCTTTGCCAGCTCCACTGCAGCAAGTATGGAGAACACTCTCGGTCCTCTGAAGCCTTTTCCTCCACCAACAGTCTGAGTCACACTGTGCTACATCTCTTCTTGCTGCCTTGAACTGGGACTTGAATCTAACAGTGTCACTTCCTGCTGTCCCTGTGTGTCTTTCCTTCCCTAAGAGTACAGCTCTGACAGCCAGGATCATGACCTATATCCCTTCTCATTGTCCATAATGCCTCGCCTCCAGCCAGTCAAAAACTTCACATAGACAATCTCAGAGCTGGGTTTGCTCTGCAATCATCATCAGGGTAAGGTCACACCCTTTGTCTCAGGTGGACAGTAGAGCACAAGACCCTTTCCACTGATGGGAACAGCCACAGGTGGATGGAAACCAAGCCCAATGACTGCTCAAAATACCCCAGGAACCAAGAACAGCCCCTCACCTAAGACCTGGCTATAAGACCTTGCCTCTGCCCCAAGGATTCTTGACTATAATGATTAATCTTAAGCTCTATTCCACAAAAAGTTTAGGCTTTCCATCAGTCAGCATGCATTACATGCTTGTCAATTTATGTTAATAGTTCCATTTATTAAAACCATACAGGAAAAAATATATGTCTTTCAGTTGTCTCAATCAATTTTTCTTAGCAAACAAACCACCAAAGCTAGGCTCAGCATAAGCTTCTTTCTGGCTCCCACTCTCAGAAACATACCTTAAGATCGAAGTGGGCAATCTGAAGGGTGTGCAGGTAGTAGACACCATTAAGAATTTGCTTGAGAAATTCAGTTGCTTCCTCTTCAGTCAGAGATTCCTTTTCAGCTAAGAAGTCAAACAGTTCACCACCTGCAACACTGAAAACCCAGAAGCAGAGTTTCCTGGTGACAATTCTGTTCCACAGCAACTCATTCTTTCCTACACTTACTGGCATGCTCACATCTCAGACATGAAGAAGCAAGAAGATGTGCCCAAACCACTAAGTCCAGAGTCAACATTCTCTGCATTCTGAGAATTGTTCATTCAGGTAGTGCTTGAAAGCATTTGGGCACCTCTTTTCTAAGGTGTCATGTTCGCAAATGAGAGGACAAAGAACAATGTATCTTTAAAAACATTTTAATTAAATGTGCTTAGAGGTCTTCACTCACTGATGGGAACAAAACTACATGCCAGTCTTGTGCAGGATTTACAGAATCAATCACCCTATCTCAATTAGACAGCACCCAGAAAGCTTATAACCTTTAGGTTAATCCATTTTTTTCAAACGAAGCATAAGTGGCTTCACAAGAATTTTCTTTTGGTTTGTTATTTATTTACATGTAAACACATTTATAAATGTGATTGATAAAAATCACATCTAGTAACTGATTTAAGAAATATTTTAGTTAGCAAGAATGAACTCACACAAAATTGAAATGTATATGGCTAGCCTGTCTCCCTGGCCAGAAAGGAGGGCAGTGGTCAGTGCTCCCCAGCCATGGGCACTGTTACATTCTGCCCTCCCAACAGTGCCAAGCATACAGCATATTCTCAGAACTTTTCTATCCAGTGATAGAGGAACAAACTCCCCTAAAAACATTATACTAGTGATTAATAGCAAAACAGACCTCTTAATAAGAGTTTTTACAAATTAATCTTATCAAGTTCAACCATATATTCACAACATGATAATTAAGTGTAACATTCTTTATCTTTCTCCTGGCAAGACAGCCTCAGAAACGTAGACACACCTACTGGATTTATATCCATTTGGAGTATGAAAACTGGTACTCATGAAATTAAACAATAATTACAAAAAGTAGGTTTTTTTAAAGAAAAGTTTTAGATCCCACTAACCCTTCAAAGTGGTATCTGTCTGGATGTGCATAGCCCAAGGTCTGCTAGCCTCAGAACTGCATGGGGATGTCTTAGACATGCAGACTGTGGGCCTATCTTTCAACCTTATGATGGGGGGTTCCGAGAATGGAGACCAGGAAATTCAGCATTCTTAACAAGTGCTCCAAAAACTGAGAATACTTTTTCTGAATGTGAATTCCATGCTCCCTCCGTAAAGCTTCCCTCTGATTTGCCCAGAGTGAGCTGACTCTCCTAGCCCTGCACTCAAACTCAAGGGCCTGGCAGAAGTAGGGAGCCCTCCTCCAAATGGTCCTCAGGCTTCTTCCCTGGGGATAGCACAGGAGCTGAGCCCAGTGAGGATGCTGAGGTGTCCATGTGAGCAGCAGAGGCCTGCAGAAGGTGCGGGCCCATGTAGGGCAGACTGCCTCTTCTTCCTGCACCTCCAGCCTTGCTCTGGGCAGACACAGCAGGCCTGCCCTCCCCTGTGCTGTGCCCTTAACCATGAATCCTCTACTGTTTCCTCATTCAACAATGTGAGGTCCATTCAACTCTTACTACTCCTAAGTACATGAGGAGAGGGAATCCTTCAACTATAGGGGAGAAAAGGAAACCAGGAGACTGGGAACCAACTACCCATGACAGATGCCTGATTGCCTGTTTGCTCTGTGGGTCTCTTGTGGATGTCCAGTTGTGTGTGCCTCTCACCATTCATACAGAGGGCTGGGTTCGAATCTTAGTTCTGTCATGGCTGACCCTGTGATTTGTAGGTTTTCCTTTCCCTCTAAGCCTCATTTTCCAACAAATATAGGACCTATTTCTTTGAAACTTATGAGGATTGAAGTTATAGCAATAGACGGATGCAAAGAACTGCCATGTCTGGAACAAGGTGGAGGTCCAAAAAGTGACAGCTATTGATACCTAAGAAAGGGGGCTATCTGCACAGGACACTGGAACCCATCCCTAGGCAGGCTCCAGCATGACCCTTCCACTGTCTACTCCAGCTGAAGCTGCTTCTTTGGTCAGAAGCGACCTATATTTCCCAGGTTGGGGGGAGTGGTGCAGGGAGAGAAGAGGCAAGATGGGGAGGAGGAGGAGGAGGAGAAAAGGGAAGAGGAGAGGGGAGGAGAAGAACAATGACAACAGAGATTCCCTTTGTGGTTCCGGTACCCGCCCCTCTCCCTGACCTCCTCTCATTCACAGACAGTGCTCTCCTAACTGCCCATGCCTTTTCCTCACCATGAGAAGGGGCTGCTGGGGTTCGGCTGCCTGGAGCTGGGGCAATCTCACAGCACACAAATGGCTGTGGTGCACAGGCTCCTGGAGTTCCTCCCAGGGGCCCCATGGCCAACCCTTCTGGCCTGCCAGGCCACCGTAGCTTTCCTAGCCCAAGCTCTGTCCCTCCATACTGGCTGCTTTCCCCTGCTAAGCTCCACCTTCTTCAGGTCGGCAATCTCACTCCCCTGGCAGCTGCAGCCTCCAGTCTGAAGGGCCCTCGAATCACACCCTGCTAGGTTACTCAGCCTCACCAAGACGCAGATACCTTTTGCATAAAATTGGATAGAGCCATCACATCTGACGGAGTTCACTCCAGAATGGAAAGAAGCTCAGCAAACGTTGACGTTCTTCTTCCCATGTGGCTTTGAACTAGAATTCTTCCCATGGCTGCAGTGGTGTGCGGCAATGTTCTCCACGAGGCTCCGTGAGCTTGCCATGGGGAGAACTCTGTTCCCAAGATGTCCTGTTCCCACAGCCACTTCTGGCTGCCCACACAATGTCACCGACTATGGAGTTGGGATGGAATGTGCACGAGCAGCTCTGCATCCTCGGTGGCTGCCTTTGGCACAGCACTGCTCACTGTGGCATTCTGCTTCCCAAAGGCAACCAAAACAGACCTTATGCATGTGCCCTTGAGTGCTGTCACCTTGCCACTCTCCCTCTGGGGCTCCACCTCTGGAACCTCACAGGCCCTGTGATCACTTCGGCCAGTGAGACATGGTAGAAGTGACACTGAAAAGAGGTCCTTCACAGGCCAGCTGGCCCTCACACCCCGCCTCCTGAATCCCTCACGTAAGGCCTGATAACTGCAATTATCCCCAAGCCACTGTACCCTATGGAGAAAGCACGGAAAAAGAGACGCCCACAGGGGAAGAGGGCAAAGGACAGCGAGCAAGAAAGGCACCTTGCAGGTGGACCCTCCGTCCCAGCTAAGGCCATGCAAGCCAGACTGTCCATCTGAGGCCTCCCAGAATTCCTCACGTAGTGGATTGACTAACAGTCAACTTGTAATGCCCGGCTGAAGTGAATCAGCATGGTCTGGGCGTAAAAGATCCACCTGAACACTGTTACCAATAGCCATAAAAAGAGAAGTGGAGGGGAAGATCTTGGCCTATTGATTTGCTAGGAGAAGCTTGCTGGAGATGGTTTTCTTGATGTGAACTAGGCTGTTGTCTGAGGAGGATCTCGGGGCCTTGCTGTCCCTGGGAATGGCTGCTGTTTTCATCAGAGGAGCTCTGATCTTTACTGTGAGCATCACTTCCTGGCTCCAATGTGGATCCCTTAGCTTGGTGGCACAAATCCTTCACCTCAGCAGCATAGGTTTTCTGGCTTCCACCACTGGCCTTTGGGCCTTCCAGGTGCAGATCCTCAATAAGGACAAACATAAGACATTGCCGTGGGCTCTAGGTCACTGGCTGGACTCGAGGAGGACATTGCCTTGGACTCTAAGCCTTTAGCTGGATTTGTGTGGGAAACTGCTGGGATCTAGGCTCTCATTCTAGCTGAATCCTTTGGGCTTCTAGTGTGCAGTTAATCTCTTGCACTCCTTTGCATTTGACTTTTTGGGTAGTTATCATAAAATAATCTTGTAAGTTATGTGTCCTGTATTTAATGTATTCCCCCGCCGAATCCTGCTGACTACAGCACCTCACCCCTCCCCAACTGTGAGCAAAATAAGTCACCACGAGCACCAACTCATTGCCACTTCTCTGAAGGACCTGCCTGCCATCCCCTCTGCTGAGGGTGGTTCAGCCTTCATCTCCTCCAGGGTTCTTGTGTGCTTCAGAAAGCCCCCAGACTGAAGGTCACACCTTCCCCAGGAAGCCATGTCCAGTGGTTGATCAATGTGGGCACATAAAGCAGGAACCAGAAAACTCTTCTACAAAGGGCCAGACATTAAATACTGTAAGCTTGGTGGGTTTTACAGCCACTGTTGAAACCTTTTACTCTGTGAATGTAGTATGAATGCAGCCATGCATATATCTGGGTGTAGCTGTGTTCCAACAGAACTTTATTGATAAAAACACATGCCCGCTTGAATCTGGCATAGGCAGTAATTTACCAACCCATGATGTAAAGAACAAATCATCCCTGCCCAACCTCCACAGCTCTCCAGGGTCATTCTGGCTCTTGAACTGCTTGCTAGCTTCTTGTGGAGCCTGCAAGACAGCTCAACTTTGCCATCCCATCTCTGTTCCCTTCTCCTCTCCAAGTCCAGATCCTAAATACAGATCTCAACAAATGCCTGCACACACTTCTCCATCTCAGAGTCTGCTTTCCAGAACTCAGCCTAAAAAGCAGGCTTGCCCTTCTCTGGGCCTGGTCACCTCATGCCTATTCAGTCTCCATGTGTGAGCAACTCAACTTCACAGCTTCCTGGCCCTGGGAGTGAGGACCAGGAAACCTTGGAGCCCCTTAAGTCAGGGACCAGGACTGCAAAGCACCAGTGCCAAAAATAGGGAGCATCAGCTGGTCCTTTCATTTTCTTCAGCTACCCTCCCACAACACTGCTTCAGATTTCAGGTTGCTCATGTCGCAGCCCACACCGTGGCTTACCTAAGGAGCCACAGACACCAGGATGAAGAGTGCTCTCATTTGAAGAGTGCCTGCTCTGAAAGCCCTACATATATACTTAGTGTCCTTCTCCTTTATTCTTACTTACCTTGCCTTGTCCCTACTGATGAACTTACCCTCCCTCATTCCCACTTACTCATCTACCTCCACGGCAACACAGGAAGGCAGATGT